TTCTTTTTGTGGCCCCGGAATGACGTCATGGCTGTCGCCGGCGAACGCGTTGGTGTTTTTTCAATGTATGCTTCAGACACGGGTCACGACGAGGCGTTCCCCATAGCGACCCCTAGAGGAAGCAGTGTCTCATTCCCTACTCAGGGAACCATGGTTACAAAAGTAACCTGAGACATTTTATGTTTCTAAACGAAACATGCCTAGAAGACCGCTGCAGTGCAACAGTCCTCAATGAAACAGCCCCTCCTAACTTTACTTTCACGAGTGTTTGCAGGACTGTTAGGAGAGGTGGAGGTGTAGCTGCTCTATTTAAAGATGTCTATCAATGCAAGCAAGTGCCATTTGGTCAGTATTTGTCTTTTGAATATCTAGGGATTGTGGTGAAAGGTGCTCCACGCATTCTGTTTATCATTATTTACAGGCCTCCAAAATACTCTCCAGCCTTTGTTGAAGAGTTCACAGAAATGTTATGTTTTACTATTGCAGGGGATTTTTATATTCACATAGATAATGCAGAAATCAAAACTACAAAAGAAATTATAACAGTTTTAAACACTTTTGACCTGATTCAGCATGTGCAAGGACCCACACACAGTCGAGTACACACTCTAGATTTACTCATCAGTAGAGGTCTAAACATTTCATACATTGTTATTAAGATCACATCTGATCACTTCTGTATTTTCTTTGCTATATTGATTTCTGCTACCACTGAATCTAGATCTGTCTCTGACAGAATGAGATGCATTAACGAGAACATTAGTGTGCTATTTATGAAGGCTATATCTTTAACACCAAGCATTTCTGCAGACTCTGTTGATCTTCTCCTTGATTCCTTTAACTCAAAAGTTAAGAGAAGATCAATAATATCAGGAAGGCGATTAGCACATCCTCAAGTTATGCAGAGGGCAGACCGATTCGACCGCAATATCAAAAAGAAGATACTATGCCTGTTTTTGAAACAATCGATAGCAAAATTTTGGAAGAAATAGTACAGCACCTTAAATTGTCAACCTGCTATCTTGACACACTTACCACATCTTTTTTCAAAAGGTTGCTTAACTGTTTAGAAGCATATCTCTTAGAAGTGGTGAACACCCCACTTCTTTCTGGGACTTTTCCAAACTCCCTGTCGTTGTTAAGCCCCTTCTGAAAAAGGGCAATCTTGATAACACCATTTTGAGCAATTATAGACCAATATTAAATCTTCCTTTTATAGGCATGATTATAGAAAATGTAGTTTTTAATCTGCCTAACAAATACTTAAACTCAAATGGATGCCTGGACAATTTTCAATCTGGTTTCTGACCGCATCACAGCACAGAGACAGCGCTCATTAAGATAATAAATTATATTCCCTTAAATTCTGATTCTGGCAAAATATCAGTGCTGGTACTACTAGATCTCAGGGCTGCGTTTGACACTGTAAATCATAACATACTTCTAGAGAGACTGGAAAACTGGGTCGGGCTTTCTGGGATGGTACTCAAATGGTTCAGGTCATACTTAGAAGGGAGAGGTTATTATGTGAGTATAGGAGACCACAAGTCTGAGTGGACGTCCATGACATGCAGAGTCTCACAAGGTTCAATTCTTGCACTGCTCCTGTGTAGCCTGTATATGCTCCCACTAAGTCAAATAATTAGAAAGAACCACATTGCCTATCACAGTTATACAGATGACACCCAGATTTACCTAGCCTTATTGCCAAATGACAACAGCCCCATTGACTCCCTCTGCCAATGCATTGATGAAATTAACAGTTGGATGTGCCAAAATTGTCTTCAGTTAAACAAAGAAAAAACCGAAGTCATTGCATTTGGAAACAAAGATGAAGTTCTCAAGGTGAATGCATAACCTTGACTCTAGGCGTCAAACAACTGAAAATCAAGTCAAGAATCTTGGTGTGATTCTGGAGACAGCCCTTAATTTCAGTAGTCATGTCAAAGCAGTAACTAAATCAGCATACTATCATC